CTTTGATCGGTAACCTGAGGGAACAGCTGGGGCGGGAGTCTCAGCACAGTCTGGAGAAGGTTGTTCCACCGCGACGGGAGGTTGCTCGGGGGCTGCTGGAGCGGGAGCCTCGGCTGCTGGTGCTGGGGCAACTGGCTCGTCTCCGTATGCATTTCTTTTGTTTCTATATCCTGAAGGCACAGCTGGTGCTGGGGCCTCATTGCAGTCGGCAGCCGGCTGCTCAACAGCAACTGGAGCTTGCTCAGCTGGCGCTACAGGGGCGGGAGCTTCGGCTGCTGGTGCTGGAGCAACTGGCTCATCCCCATATGCATTTCTTTTGTGAACTGCAAAGTGATTCCTTTATGAAAGCAACTATGAAGAGAATAAATCGCACATTAAAACCTTGCTATTTTGTAAAAACCGCAAGTCAAGAAAAAATATCGGTAAAAACGTAAGCACATCAGTAACATCATCTCACCTGATTTGGCTGCAGAGAGAGCCACAAGGGCTGAGACGAGTACGAAAACCTTCATGTGGGCGGTGATGCCTTTCCTCCTTACTGGGTTACCTTTTATACTGTACTGCGCCTGACCTTTCAAATGGCTTGAAACCGGATTTTGTACGCGCGGCATGGCTTCGCGTATACCCCGCATAGATGACAAGTAGTTATACGGAGAATTGAGACGTGGAAAAACAAAACGATCGCTATTGCTTACTTTATTAGCCCGCAAACTTATCATAACTCTACAATTTTTTACTTTTGCTGAATTTATATGAGCATATCCTTATTGTTTAATCGAGCATCATGCCTAGTATAATTCGAGCTCACACTGAACAATCTGCATTTTGTTTATCCTTGGATCTTTTTCGTCAAATTCTTTTATTCACTGGGGAAGTGTCAAGAAGTCTTTCTGCAAGAAGTTTGAATGTTGCTAATCATTTTCCTACTTATCAGATTATAGCATTTCATCCGCTGAATGTGATAATTAAGCGAATTTCTAAATATAAATAAATAACTATTAATAGCATATCTATGAATCATGAAGAATCAAGTTAAGTTTTAAACCTTATAATATTACATGTACTCAAATATTTCCGCTCACCCGTTATCATTAGAGCTCTTCATTTTGACTAAAAATTTCCGCTCACCCTTTATCATTAGGGCTCTTAATTTTGATTTCGACAACTTAAATCTTCCGAAAACAAGAAATTCGGCCTCAGTTACAATCACTTAATTGGCATCACTAAATCTTCAACTTCTAGGGTAAAGAGATAATTGTACACGAGAAGAACAGTTTTTTTTTTGCTTAGCAAGGCAAATCTCTTTGATAGCCTTTTAAAAGATACAACACTGCTAGATCTTATA